ACTCTGGGAGTTGAAGTCCACAAGTCTTAAAGCTGCCAAGGTTGGAGACCCCTGTTCTAGTCCGACCTCCTGCCCAAGGCAGGGGTCCTTATATCATTCTGGAGCACCCACAACTTTGGGATGCAAGCTGTTCCACTGACGAACTGTTATCACTGTCAGGAAATTTTTCCTTAGTTCTAAGTTGGATCTCTCTTTAGCAAGCTTGCATCCATTGCTTCTTGTCCTGCCCTCTGGTGCTTTGGAGGACAAGTCAAATTGGAAGACCGTTATCATGCCCTCCCCCGCCCCGATTCTTCTCACCATTAGATTAGACATACCTAAAGTTCCCTTAACCATTCATCATATGGTTTAGTCTCCAGACCCCTTATCATCTTTGTTGCTGGGTGCACAGTGGCTTCATTCTCATGCCTTGATGACATGAAGGTGAGGAGAGATCTCCAAGGCTGAATTTGGCTCTTCCAAGTCTTCTCAATTTTGATCACACAGTTGCTTCTCTTATGTTTTAAAGTTAGATTCTGAATTACTCCTCCCCGTTTGAGGCATTGAGATAGTTTAAAGTCCCCGTCATTTATTTCATGTATCTACTGATCCACCTCAAGACCAAGGGAAAGTTCATGAAGTATCTAATCCAGTGGTTCTCAATTTGTGGCCTCTGGACTCCTGGGGGGGGGGCTGTAATGTTGTCACGGGACTGCGAAGGCTTGAAGAAATGTTACGATTTAAATCTTGAGTTAAGTCTTGGTGGTCCATGGTCACAAAAGTTATTTAAAAGGGCTCTGTGGTGAAGTAAAGGCTGAGAACTACTGATCTAAAACACACACACACACACACACACACACGAGGTAATATATATTCCAGGAGATCAATCAATTTTTGGGGGGGTGTAACTGCAGCTGGATTATAGCACAGGAGTGAAAAGGATTAAAAAATCAAAACAGGATTTTCCCCAGGCTGGGCTAATCCAGATTATCCCACTTCCCCGGGTCTGTTTCAGATTCTGAACAGAAATCATGCAAACTCTCTCTCTCTTGGACTAAGGAAAACGTCATAAGCACAGGCGATATGTAAACACGAATACACAGACACAACTTTTCTCTCTCGATTATCCTAGAGATGCCTTCTTTGGTGTGATGTGATGTGGGAGTGTGTCAAAAAAAAAAACCCACCCTAACTGGATCTGAAAGCAAAGCCGAAGGCCACTGGTTCATGCCTTATGTGCTCATGATACCTGGGAGAAAGGAAAGACGAGCTACTGAAGCCACTTTCTCCATTGCACAAGCTGTCCGAGAAAACGTCCCCCTCGTTCCCTTCTCCGTAGTCCTCAAAATGCTCCTCTCCACAGATTACAGTGACGATAGAGTGGCTGTTGACATCGGTGGTCAAGGACAAGTCCTGAGGGTGGGATCTGTTGGAGAAAAAAGAAGGATCAAGGCATCAAGAGAGGGCATTGGGAAGAGGGCACAGTACTTCGCAAAATGTTTACATCATTGTGATGTGACAGGGAGGCTGATTCTGTTAATGCCATCACCCGACACAACATTGAACAGTGTTTTTCATGGACTAATGAGCTACAGAGAGGTGTAGATCTCTAAATTCCCAGGTTTAATCCTGGTTCGTGTAGAGCAGGAGTCTCCAACCTTGGCCACTTTAAGCTTGGTGGACTTCAACTTCCAAAGCTGGCTGGGGAATTTTGAGTGGCCAAGGTTGGAGACCCCTGGAGTAGAGCACTAGCAATAGAACTTAGACTTATATACCGCTTTCCAACCTTCTCTAAGCAGTTTACAGAGTCAGCCTCTTGCCCCCAACAATCTGGGTCTTCATTTTACCGACCTCGGAAGGAGGGAAGGCTGAATCAACCTTGAGCCAGTGAGAATCAAAACTGCTGGCTAAGGGCAGAGTTAACTTTACAATATTGCATTCTAGACACTGCGCCACCACGGCTCTTTGCCACATGGCAATGTTTCTCAACCTCGAAGACGTGTGAACTTCAACACCCAGTATTTCCCCAATCAGCTGAAAGTCCCACACGTTTTCAAGCTGCCAAAGTTGAGAAGCGTTGATCAATTTGGAAAAGACCATTCCAGCAATCTGGGGTTCAGTGTGACCTTGGAAGCAAAGTGCTGGTTATTGAACGCCTTACAGAAGGCTGCTGGGCCACAACCAACGAAGACACGGAATCTTGTTAAAAGAAAAGTATGAACAGTGTAGCACATCTGATGTGACCAGGATCTAATGCTTGAAGGAGGACATTCCCTTTGGATTCACCTCCAGCGTTTTCTTTCTAAAAATGAAAGAAGCTCTACCACCTTTGCAGAATCTGTGTGTTGTTCCACACTGTACCATCATGTAGGCTGAATCCTCACCGCTTTCATGTACACATTACAGTGAAATGTGCTTTAAAGTTCTTCTTTTTAATCCCGGCAGTAGCATTTTGCAAGCAGCAGCAGCCCAGCTGAACGTGGCACGAAGCCTCAGGTTTGATTCCCGGTATTTACTACATTAAAAGGACTTAAAAAATAAATAATGGAACAGCCTGTCTTTCTGGTGCCAGTCAAAGGAGACAGCCCTAGGCTATAGAAGAAAACTAGATATATATCTTCTGGAATAGCAAGTAGTTTGTGGTGTTTGGCACGTGCAAAAACAGCAAGTTTTTCACTAGGCGAAACAAAATACTTTCCTCTTATGGGTTGAGAGATCACACAAAACAATTGCTTTATTGTCTAAATCACAACTGGCTGGTTTCATACATCACACCAAGCCTTAAGTCACTATTTGCTAATTCATACAGTATGCGAAGATTTCTCATAGTAGAATCAATTTTAGAAGTACAAGAAAACTTCTCCAAAAGTTTTTCTAATTCAAATTCAGAATGAAAAAGAATTTTTAAAATGCCTCTGTGCCTGAGGCTGCATGGTTCTGAGTTTTACTCCATTCAAAAACAGGAAACTAGTTTATCTATAAGTCCAAACATGCTAATGTCTGCATTATTTTTGCATTAACAGACAAAATGGTCTTGTTATCCTCCGGAAATGTGGAGAATGAGATACAAATTCCAACATCTTCCCATTCTCCCAATGCTGATTAAAAGTTCCATCCAGAACAGATGAGATCATTACCCGAAGATACAGATAAAAACAAACCAATAAAACAAAAGTACATATATAGACTGGGTGAAACCAGGCTCAACAGCAGTAACCGTGATCTTGGAGTCTTCGTGGACAACCAGCTAAATATGAGCCAGAAGTGTGCAGCAGCCGCCAAAAAAGCTAATGCAATCCTAAGTTGTATTAACAGAGGGATACAGTCAAGATCAAGGGAAGTACTAATACCACTCTATAAAGCCTTAGTAAGACCACACCTAGAGTACTGCATCCAGTTTTGGTCACCACATTATAAAAAAGATGTTGAGACTCTAGAAATAGTACAGAGAAGAGCAACCAGGAGGATAAGGGGACTGGAGACTAAAACGTATGAAGAACGGTTACAGGAACTGGGCTTGGCTAGTCTAGTAAAGAGAAGGCCCAGGGGAGACAGGATAGCGGTCTTCCAATATTTGAAGGGCTGCCACAGGGAGGAGGGGGTCAAGCTATTTTCTAAAGCTCCTATAGGCCAGACAAGGAATAATGGATGGAAACTGAACAAGGAGAGATTCAACCGGGAAACAAGGAGAAACTTTCTGACAGTGAGAACAATCAACCAGTGGAACAGCTTGCCCTCGGAAGTTGTGGGAGCGCCATCAGTTGAGACTTTCAAGAAGAGATTGCAAAAGGCAGTTTTGCTTGGAACATCCTGCGACAATACTTTTAACACCACCAAACAGCAACCTCTGACTATCTCAGGTCCTTGAGAAGAAATCAATGGGTGGATAAAAATGCCAAATCCGGTCTAAACATCTGGCTGGTTGTGTGACAAACCATAATAATCGGCAAAGATGAAATCAACATTAGTCAATTGCAAAAGGCAGCTTTATCTGAGACAGCTGACATCCTGCAATGATACCTCTAATACCATCATACAACATCTGCCTCTCCTGGATCCCCTTGGGAAAAATTCAATAGGTAGACAAAAATGCTGAATCTAGTTAAAAATCTGGCTAGCTGTGTGAACAACAATGATTATTAAAAAGAGTAATTTCCGTAGACGTGGCAAATCCCAGGGGCAGCAGAATTCAGGGAAAAGGATTGGAAAAAATATTTCAGAATGTAAAGATCAAATTATCAACACTGGTAGACAATGAAAACAATATTGCAAAGTCACGTCTACAGTTATCTGACATCAGGCAAAATAACAAAAAGATAGAAGAAACATTTACAAGAACTAAATATTTCCAGCTACTATATATCAACCACTCATTTACCAAAACAAAACAAAATTTTACCTTATTGGGCAGATATATTACATTGTTACTTGGATATTTCCAATTTATAGTTTCCTACTGTAGATAGAAATCAAATTTTCAAAGAGCAGCAATCAAAAATGTTTGCCTGTTCTTTGTACTGCATTATTAAGTGATCAATAAAAACATCTTCATTATATTGGAGCAATTGCTTCTTCTAAGACCAGCCTATTTGATTACACAACGATCAGAAATATGTCTATACTATAATTTAGGAAGAGTTACTTCTAGAGAACCAAATTAGATTTGATTGGACCGAGAGAGGAAAAGCATTTTCCTGCTTCAGCAAGGATTCCCTGACTCATTGAGGAATATTTAGTGAACTGTCAAAACAAGAATTATCTCAAAACACTTCCTGGACATCAACAAAGAAAAGAATTTTTAATTAAAACAATGTTTAAGGAAGGAGGAAACAGTCAAGGCCAGATGGATGGGTAAAAAAAGACTGTAGGAAACAAAAGAGATAATATAATGTGAGAGATCTGAAGCTCATTTGTCACAGACTGCAGATACGCTGCTGGCACCGCTAGCACTGATGGTGTTACCTAGTTTGGTTAATGAAATGTCTGGGGGAAAAAACCCACCAAGCTCAGAGAGTACCGAGGACCCCACAGATCAACCCTGAGTTACATATATTCTCCTTTATCAATAAGTACAATATTCCTTCTTATTTTGACATCTGATGATAGAATGTCACCTGCTGACTACCGGTACCGAGTTTAGAAGAGGCAGTGGGAATGTATCTTTGGTCTTCAAACTGAGCATGATAGAAACCGCACACTTGAGATGATGGTGAGCTTCGGAGCCAAATGGGGGAAACTCTTGTCTTGTCCAAATGCCTTTCCAGTTATTATTGTTATTAGTGTACGGCATGGGCACCGTAACAAGGAAGGTTCAGAGCCACCAGGAATCTGCCTGCCTGCACAGAGCACCAGCTCGCCTCACCACCAAAGTGGTACCTATCTATCTACTTGCACAGAACAGGCTTTCAAACTGTTAGGTGGACCGAAGCTGAGGCAAGTAACAGGAGCTAACCCTGCGACACAGAGCTAGAACTCGAACCACCGGAGTTGAGACCACCTCCAACATCATTAAGCCTCCCCTTTTCAGCTGGAGTACATGTAGTCTTTGACTTACAAAGATTCACTTAGTGACCGTTCAAAGTTACAACGGCACTGAAAAAAGGGACATGACCACATTTCACCCTTATGACCGTTGCAGCATCCCCATGGTCAAGTGATTTAAATTTGGATGCTTGACAACTGACTCGTATTTATGACGGTTGCAGTGTCCCGGTGTCATGTGACATTCCGACAAGCAAAGTCAATAAGGAAGCCAGATTCACTTAACAACTGTGTTACTAATTTTGATTCACTTAACAACGGTGGCAAGAAAAGTGGTAAAATGGGGCAAAACTCACTTAACAAATTTCTCACTTAGCAACGTACATTTGGGGCTCAATTGCGGTCGTTAGACAGAGGACCACCTGTACGGCCCACAAAATTGAAGCGACGCCCGTATCCAAGCCACCAGCTATGCCGCAGATCAGGCTTTCTCCTACACCACCGCAATCTCTCCCGGGAGGCCCTGCTGCCAACTCTTTTCCACAAAACGTTTCATCCATCCCTGCATTGCTGAGGGAACACGAAGCTTCAAGTCCAAATGCTGGCTTGCTTTTATTTTAAATTCTTTATTTTGCAGGGCTTAGAGAGGCCACTCCAGTCTCAAAGGACACCGGCAAGCTTTCCTCTTTCAGGAGGAAGGTTAGAAAGGAAAAATAAACAAGAACTCTTAATTTCAACTGAAGCTGCAAAAAGCTTCAAACCTCCTTCAAAACCCAAAGCTAATCCAATCAATTCCCCTTCCGGAACTTTCTTACACAGACAGTTTTTATTTATTGGTTTTTATTAAAAGTTTTTTTTTTTTTTTTAAAGTGAAAACTAACAAGAACAAATATAAAGGGAAAACAGAGAATGAGAAAAGGCCTGAAGGATCAAAAAAATAAATATTTCTTTGCAGCAAATATAAATGCAATTTAAAAAATAGCTCTTCCCTCTAGGCTTACAAAAAGAAAAGCTCTCTTTTTCCTATTATCCTTTTCTCTTCCTCCCTGTTCATCAGAACCATAAATCATGAGCACCTTTTTTCCTGTTGCAAAAAGTCTATAAAGGACTTCCAGTCCATCATGAACATAAATATTGTCCTTTACAGTCAGAACGCAGAGCATTGCAAAAAGAGAAAGAGCTACCACAGAGAAAGTTCACCCGTCAAAGGAGGGGGGGAAAATCATTGCAAAAAGAACCCCAAACAAAACCCTGCGAGATTGTTTACAAGAGACAACTAAAATAGGAGTTTGCCTTTACTGGTACATCCAGGCTAATAAATATTAGATAACAGATCACAGATAGTACATATGGAGAGCCAGTCTGGTCTAGTGATTAAGACACCAGGCTAAAAACCAGGAGACTGTGAGTTCTAGTCCTGCCTTAGACCTGAAAGTCAGCTTTGTGGCCTTGGGCCAATCACCAGGAGCCTGTAAGTTCTAGTCCCAATTTACGCATGAAAACCAGCTGGGTGACTTTGGGCCAATCACCAGGAGACTGTGAGTTCTAGTTCT